GCATTCCTCGAAGAACCCAGCCTTCATGGTCGACGTGGGCAAGGTCCTCCGAAGACCAAGAAGGCCAGAAGTGCGAGGCTGTGAAGTGGGATGGTGTAGCCTTCAGATTTGCATCACCAGTTGTCTCACCAGTTACTATGGGCTATGATTTCTGAGATATGGTAGGCCACGAAGAATACACCGGACCCATCTTTCAAATCAGGGGAAATGAAGGACGCATTTGTCGGCCCAGTTTGGAGCAGTCTTAGAATTGGGACAGCCTTCCTCGTCTGGCTGTGACGTAATTGGCCTTCAAATGTGGCCTCCAAAGGATGCAGCTCCTGAATGGGGACATAGCACTAGGGAGAACACACACAAATACAGGGAGAACATGTAAACTCCACACAGAAAGACCCAAGCCTGCTGGTGGAATCTAACTCAGGACTTTCTTGCAGTGAGGCAACAGTGTTAGCTTAATGATATATTATAATGATAGACCGGTGTTCTGGGAATACATCCTACCTCACAAACCATCTTACCCCTTGTTTCTGTGCATGTGTGCGCGTGCGCAGAACACAAAAACGCAAGTTGCTAGCATCCGGCTCCGATTTAACGCTACTCTGTTTTCATATTTAGAGGTATTAGCATTTCATTGACGTGGGCCACTGTGAATGCTTGTTAATTGTACAGTGAAAATGCTATCTGCTTTTTGCACAAAAGTATCAAATTTGCAGCTTCAGTTAAGTTAAGTAGGATGGTTTGTCAGAACCCCGGCTGTAGGTGTGAACGAGTGTTTAGTTGTCTGTCTCTTTGTTAGTCCTGTGATGGACTGGTAACCTTTCTGCTGTGCATCTCAGCTGGAATAGACTCCAGACTTTGTGCTTCCGTAAGATGGATCAGTGATTCAGAAGATGGATGATTTCTTTCAATGATACCATTTTACAGAACTTATTTAAAGACTAGAATTGAACTCACCGAGTTTGTAGGTGACCGTTAATGAATGCTGCTCTTTGCATGTGTTTTTCAGCCTGTGGTTAGTCTGTTAACAGAAACCAACAGCTCTGTGGTCGTCATGTTTCCCCTGTCAGATAAAAATACTTCAGCTCCTCAGGTTGTACTGCAGGACTGTTAATGTCACGGGTTTGTGTTTCACTGGTATGATTGTAATTATTTTGTAGTTTGCATGACATCCTGGTCCAGTGAGTCTGTGAGGCCCCTGATTGAGCGGTTCTGTGTTCCACACGTACAAACATTATATTCGTATTTATGAGTAAATCTGTTTTATGCTTGTGATAGCCTAGCTCTGTATTTGTCAAAGTGTGTGGCATAGTTCTGAGTTGGGGCGCAAGTTACCTGGCAGAAAATTCATGCGGAACTAATGTTTAACATTGGAATCACTTTTACAACGGAACAAAGAAATTTGCAGCAGTTACTTTAGTAATATGCGCATCCGCTGAAAAACTGCAGCCGTGTGTGTAAGTCGACAGCCACAATGAAGAAGAAGTGTACTGAAAAGTGCGAACATGTGGTCGGGTCTGTCGTGCTAGGACTAAGACTAAGACTGAACTTTATTTTTTCAATGTTTGACAATATCTAAAAAAAAGTTGCGGCTTTTCTGTCATTGTTTTGTTTAGATGAGGCGTGAAAAAATGTCTTCCTGCCATGTGGTAAAAGATGTAAAAAGTTTGAGAACCACTGGCCTAGCTGAAAAAGATTGTGAGTTTATGATAGGCCACAGTATCTCACATAGAGTTGTTATGCCTGTGATCAGGATATATTTATGAAAGACGGATGTCATGAAGACGTCATAAAATGTGTGTTTTCTTCTCATATTAAAAAAAAATAAGCGAACAAATATATCTAGTGGGGTTTTTCCCCCAAAAAAGAGCTGATCAAATTTTTAGGAAATTTTTTCATTGTGCTACATAAGAATAGTAATAACTTTCATTTATTTACACATCCTGTTCAGTAGTATCACTTCTCTAACTTCTAGTATTTGCAGTGATGTCCTCTCTGTGTGTTTTGCTGTGCAGAGAGTGATCCCGTTCCTGTCCACTCAGCCCTGAGAACTGAAGACATCAGTTATGGACAAACAGCTGTTTGAACAAACACACTCTGGTACAGCTGCTCTTTATTCACTAAAAACAGAGTAATTATTTTTCATTATTATTATTTTCCACATTCAGTAAACAGTAAATTAAAGTCTAGGGTCTTTAGAGACCTGCAGCAAGCTTTCTTCTCCACACTGAACCAGGTCCTAGCTTACTATGCTAGTAATTAACAATTTGGAATAAATCATCAACAGCTCAGCGAGAGGAAAACTAAACTAGAAATGCACCTTTAAAGAAATCCAAGGTGAACAAGATGATCCCTTAAAAATGTCATATTGATTTTATTGATGATTGATTTTATGTATGAATTAAAACAGTTACAACCTACTGTAATGCTTTACTGTTATAAAGAATTTAGCAATCAGATGTCATGTTTACTGTGTAGGACAAAAAGGTTCATTTTTTGCATTTGTTTTTTTATTAAAATTATCTTAAAGACGTGTAGTTCGACATTTTGTGGATTTTACTCAAGCACTTAATTTGTTTCCTTTCGGTGCAAACATCTCCAAAATTCATCTATAGACAAGAACATTTTTTAAACCATAAGAGGCGGTAAAAAGAAATAGTGTTGAAAGTTTGCCAACACCAACTCCCTCAAATGCCTTGAAATGTTTGACTGCTACTCTGTAAGATCTGAATTAAAAATGTTACATAAGTCAAGTGTAGATTTAGCAAAACGTGTCCCAAGAATGAAAGTAAAAGTAAAGCTTATGACTCATATCTGATTTTACCTGACTTTATTGCATTACTGATCCTGGTATTCATGAGGGGAACATTTTCTGCCACAGTCTTGAGTCTGTCCACCCTTTAGGATACAACACAACTACTCGTAGAACTGCAGTTACATCCAGTAACTACTATTTTAATAGAAGAACTTCATTTTTACAGAACAGTTTCTCTCAGCTGTTTTTCCACACAGACACTTTTTAACCTCCTGATGTGAAGTGACATCATAACAACTCTGATTGGTGGTCCACGTGTCCTCTGCATAGATGAGGCCCTCATCTATTTAATGTGATGCAGTGTTTGTCTCTTTTCTTTAATGAAAGTGAGCTTCCAGAAATTATTAAGTTGTTCTTCTTGGCCTCTGTAGCTTTTTATAAATAGACCAATATTATATACAATACCACAGAATGTTAAAAAATGTTAAAAAGATCTGACAGACTCAGTAGATCAAATTGTAAAAATGACTTTTATTAAGATAAAATCACATCAGCAGCAACCTCCATCTGTAAAGTGTAAACAACCTGTAAAATGTGTGAAAATAGTACTCAGCAGTTAATTTATTTTAGTTTATTTCGTATTTTGTAGTTAAAATTCTTTTGTACAGCCATGTGGGCTGTTAATCTGTTAAACTTTAAACTGAACTTGCATAAATGAAGCTTTATCTGGAGTTTGTTTCTTCTGTAACAGTTTAATGTTTCAGAGAGACGATGTCTCTGCCTCACTGTCTGAACACTCAACAACAAATTTAAATTTAAATCCTCTCCCCATTCTGTCAGTTTACTTTACATAAACATAACCGAGTTTTCAGAGCTGCTTATCCTTCTCATGTTGAACTGTATGTGTTTGTGTTTAGACTTTAAACCAGTGCCAAACGTCGTCTACTTTTCACTGAAGCAGTCCACCGGTCCAACCACTGATGTCCAGCTGCTGGTCTCTAACTGGCCCACACAGCCCTTGTAATCACTCTCAGTGGTTGTATAAGTCTGTCTGCATATAGTGTAACAAAGCGTAACTAAAATATAAATGTAATGAATCGTTTTAATTGTCCTCACTAAAGTTTGCTTTTTGTTACATTTCATTTCTAAGCGTGGCACCATCCTGTTGCTTCTATACAGCAGTGAACTGCTTCCTCTGCAGCATCAGTAAACTTTGCGCTCATGTGTCGTTCCTGTCGTGTGGTGTGGTTCTGTGGGTTTCAGAAGTAGTGCGGATGGAAAATTTGAACTGTGTTTCTAACTGGTACACACCTCTATTGAGAGCAGATAACAAAGAACAGACAAACAGCTAAACCTCAACCACAGACTAAAAACAGCAGGAACATCATTGAGTGGCTGAAAAGATTCAGAACACAGTGTGTGTGTGTGTTTGTTTGTTTTTTTTGTTTTGTTTTGTTTTTGTTTTTTTTTTATTATTTTTATTTTTATTTTTATTTTTTTATTTTTTTTATTTTTATTATTATTTTTATTTATTTATTTATTTATTTTTTTATTTTTTTATTTATTTTTTTTTTATTTTTTTTTATTTTTTTTAAATTGTTTGTTTGTTTGTTTGTTTGAAGAGTTTTAATTCAATGAAAACAAATCTGTAAGAATTTTCTCCCTGGCTAGCTTGGTGTTAGCTCTTTGTGCAGAGAGTTAAAGCCACAATGCGATTTTTTTCTGTCCTTGATGCAGTTTACACTTTACGATCACATTCTCATGCTACAAAAATAAGAGGAATATCTCCACTCATCCAAAGGTGTAGACCTCACCACCATTTTCCTCCTCCGTGCACACAAACTTCAGCTGCTTGTAGCAGGAAGAAAAACACATCTGATATGTATTTAATCCATCCATTGTGCAGATATTTAAAGAGCCTTTGTAATGCAAGTAGCAACAAAATTGTAATATTATTACAGAATTTCGTACAGTAGTGTGTTGTATTACTACATTACGCTAATGTAAATGTGTTATTTTGGAAAGCATTACACACAACAGTAAACCAGTTACATCAAGAGGTGTCCTGGTAACAGTCGGTGCTGCAGGGGATTTCATTTGTTGTAATACCAAAAGTGACCACTTGTACCTAAAACTACACAATTTGTGTAAAAGAAGTAAAGTAGCCAAAGTGCAGATGATAGTTTAGGTGTTGATTTGGAATATTTATTATACATTTGGAACCACACATCTGTGTGTGTGTGTGTTTGTGTGCTTGAAAGCTTTGTGATGAAAATTGCTGAAAATTGGTCTGGTGCTGCCACCTACTGACACTGAAGTGCACCAGCAAACCCTCCAGCACTGTCAAGATGACAGAGTCCAAAATGCACAGCATCTGAGACCAGAGAAGTTTGGGGATGCATGCTCAGGGTGCTGTGATGGCTTTAAGGTAAAATAAATAAATAAATTTGTGACCTCCAAAGTTTCCAGACACTGAATGCTTGCTGTATTTAAATTTTTTAAAAAAGTGCTATTTCCTGTGTTTTAATGAATCAAATATCATATTTCCTTCACTGTCCAATTGCCCTTGAACCTGGACTTCATGTGTATCACTGAGACTTGGCTTAACACTGGTGAGTCCAGTGTTTTATCAGAACTTTTACCAGCGGGTTGTTCCTTTTTAACACACCAAGGGAGAGGAGGAGGAGGTGCGGCAGGTGAATTTTAAAAATGATTTTAAATGTAAAGAGTTCTTTTTGAAGTCTTTATCTTCCAGCTCTGATCTGACGTGTTTTGAAGTCAATCACTCCAACTCAGTGCTCTTTGCTGTTATTTATCGTCCCCCAAAATACAATGAGAATTTTGTAAATGACTTTTCAGAATTTCTAGCTGGGATAATGTTCTTATTATGGGAGATTTTAATATCCATGTCTGCTGCGCTGACAAAGGAGAAGTTTTATTGACTCTTTTAATCTGGTCCAGTCCATACCTGGTCCTACACATGAACATGGACACATACTAGGCCTGGTCTTGTCACAGAGTCTACCTGTGTCTAATGTGGAAGCTGTCGGATCATTAACCCTTCTACTGCTGCCCCGCTCTCCTCTGCTTTTAGTCAGCTGTCTGTCCCCACTGTTTTCAGCTGGGAGTTGTTCTGAGAGTGATATATAAATATATAAATAAAATATATATTTATTCTGTAACACCACATATGTGGACGCCAGATCCTGGGAGGTTAAAGCAAATTGTGCGTTGTCGGTCCTGCCTGGTGTTCAATAACAGTCAATATTTAGTATTTACTGTTACTTACACGTATCTATGTTGTTGTCCCTGTATTGTGTTGTTCTCTTGTTTTTTGTTTTCTCTTTTCTTCTTTTAACAGGTGATCCAATGGATTTCCTCAATGTCTTCTTTTACTTTCCCCCTTCCCCTCTGTTTTCTTTCTCCCTTTCCATATAATTTTCAGTCCAATTTGTAATAACTTAAAATAAAATAAAATAAATAATGATAATATAGATTAATCAAGTGGAATAATATAGCATATTTTCTCCACTTGAAAAAATACATCCATTGGGCATCTTTCCTGGCCTTCAGACAACAATTCTTTTTGCTAAAGTAGTGAAAAAAGAGAGAATTTGTTGTCTGCTGGTCACAAAGTAATGTGATGCTGAACATTCTTAAAACAAAAGAACTCATAGTGGACTTCAGGAGACACACACAGGTCCCCACCGCTCTTATAATAAATGGTGAACACATCTCGTGGGCACCCACAGCTTCTTCTCCTGAGCCATTCAGACTGCTAATAAACACTATCCCCCCATGCCTCACCCTGCCCCTGCTCACTCACCTACCTCACCAATTTGAGCCATGGCCTGAGTAACCACCATCACTCAGGCCACACACAGACTCTATTCAGATCAAGTCTTTTCTTTGCAATGCTTCTGAGCACTTTGCAACTATTTTGTTCTCTAATGTGTGCCTTTCTCTTTTTTTGTATATATTTTTGTGTATATCACCCTTGATTGAATAAATTTCTCCTGTTTGTTATCTCTGCTGTCTAATATATCTTTTTTTCCACAGTTGTACATGTACAATGACAATAAAGGGCTATATTCTTCTCTTCTATTTGTTGTTCATTTATTCAGTTAATAACACTAGGGAGCAGACCCGCCCGGTCCTCTCATTTGTAAGTGTGCAGTACTGTGCCAACTGCAGTGGATGGTTTTTCTTTCAGCTTTCTTTAATGTTTTTATCAGCACTGTGGCTTTGCTGATGGTTTTGATTTAGCTTAGCAACTTTGATGAACAAAGTTCAACTAGGTTTTGTTTATGTGTCTTTAAGCAATCCTCTTACACAGGTGCTGAGCTGAGTGCAACCCGGTACCTAATATAGTGGCCGCTTGGTGTTTG